CGCCTGCACCTCGCTCAGCCAGTGAGCGGCCAGTCTGTACGTGGGATCCGAACCCTCGGCGGGAGCGCCGCCGCGCTCCCAAGCGGCGCACTGTAGCAGTGCGCCACCGGGCCGGCCCCTACTTCTGCATTTAGAAACAAATCTACCTTTCATTTTTTTTTTTCCAGCAAATAAGATTTATTTTATTATGATTACAGGATGAACCAACCACAGGCATGGATCCCAAAGCCCGGCGATTCTTGTGGAATTGTGCCCTAAGTATTGTCAAAGAGGGGAGATCAGTAGTGCTTACATCTCATAGGTCTGTAATGATGTCTTGGTCTGGCTTCTATACTGTGTGATTTTAAAATTTTCCTAGTAGTAGTATATGATCATTTTGTAAAAATTAGAAAATACAGTACGACAAAGTTTAAAACAATTATTATCTGAAATTATATCACTAGGAGACAGCTATCCTTATCATTGGACTGTATGTTTGCAGAGTTTTCATATGCACATCTATATACGTGTGGGTATTTTTACAAACAAAAATGCATACATATCTTTTTTACATAATGATATATTGTGAACATTATTTCAAGTCAGTAAATTTAGATGTGCCATCATTTCTTATAGCTGGATAGTATTCTTTTAGGATATACCTCAATTTATTTAATTATTCCCTTTTTTGTAGACATTTGGATTGTTTTCAACTTACTCACAGTTGTAAATAGTACTGCAGTGAATAGCATCATCCCCATATCTTCATGTGTTTGTAACAGGATGTGATTATGCTCTAAGAAGCTGGGAATCTGTTTCTTTGAAATGCTAGATGTCATGGTGATATTCTGCTGATTGTAAGCGCATCTCTCTAAAACCAAAACCTCATTCTGTTTCCTCCCAGTATGGAAGAATGTGAAGCTCTTTGCACTAGGATGGCAATTATGGTCAATGGGAGGTTCAGGTGTCTTGGCAGCGTCCAACATCTGAAAAATAGGTAACAAAGATAATTTCTTTGTGATAGTGCCTAGTCAGAAAGCTTGATATTTATTCTTCTGTGAGTGTGTAAATGGTGGCTCTAAAATAAAGGGAAATAAAACTGGGCAAAATGGTAGAGTGGAAAGAGTGAGGGCTTTGAAGTCAAACAGAGCTGCATTCAAATTCTGTCTAATTTACTGATTGTGTGACTCTTGGGCAAGTTACTTAACCCCTCTGAGAGTCAGTTTCCTAGGATTACCTACCTCCTAGCTTTGTTATACAGATGAAATGAAAACACTTACATATGCCGGTATAATAAAGAGCACAAGCTTTGGAGTCAAACACAAATGGGTTTGCATCCTGGCCCCACCACTTACAAGCTTTGTGTCATGGACAAGTGATTAACTCCCTGGGCTTCAGCTTTTCTGTAACATCTGTCAGACCTCATAGGTCCAGGTAAGGATGAAATGAGATCAGTGTATTTAAGATACCTGGTATGGTACCTCATATAGAATAGGTATTCAGTAAGTGATAACTGGTTCTTTCTCTTACAAACTTATTTCTGGGTTTGTCTGGGACCTCCCTTTTTCATGGCACAAGTTGGGTTTTCAGGGTTGGATATTCTTTTGAGGAGTTTCTTGGGGATTCTCCATTTGGATATGTTTTCCTGCTTTCAGGTTTGGAGATGGTTATACAATAGTTGTACGAATAGCAGGATCCAACCCTGACTTGAAGCCTGTTCAGGAGTTCTTTGGACTTGCCTTTCCTGGAAGCGTCCTGAAAGAGAAACACCGGAACATGCTACAGTACCAGCTTCCATCTTCATTATCTTCTTTGGCCAGGATATTCAGCATTCTCTCCCAGAGCAAAAAGCGACTCCACATAGAAGACTACTCTGTTTCTCAGACAACACTTGACCAAGTAAGCTTTGAGTGTCTAAAATAGATTTGCTTTGGGGCCGGCCCGGTGGCGCACTGGATAGTGCGCCGCTTGGGAAGCGCGGCGGCGCTCCCGTCCGAGGGTTCGGATCCCACATACAGACCGGCTCCCGCTCACTGGCTGAGCGAGGCGCGGGAGCAACACCGAGGCTTGCGATCCCGTTGCCGGTCACCACGCGGGAGCAACACCGAGGCTTGCGATCCCGTTGCCGGTCCCCGGTCCGGTGCGGG